TTATCAAACCTATGAGTTCCTTGACCCCTTCAGTTTCTCCAGTTTATCAGTGTATCCTTGGCTTAGTTTTGTCTACACAGCCTTCACTGAACCCTCTTCCTAGCAAGGCCTCCCATCTGGCTTCCCTGCAGATCCCAAATAGTCCTATTTCCGCTCTCCTGACTCCCACTCCCTCAGCTCTGCTGGAGAACATCACATGTTCTCCTTCTAAACTGGTATACTTCTCATGGTCTCCCACCCAGTGGGGTCTTCCACTCTGTTCACCAAGCTTTCCCAGCACTCCATCATCAGCTACTCTAGACTGTACCACTTCCCTATAATTCCTTATCCTACCGCCTACCCATCCCCCATGTTCAGCAAATATCTAACATCTGACTAAAGGAAAAATTAGACTCCTTTAGACAAAACTCTCTCAATTTCCTCCCATTTCCCTGACGAACTTACTCTTATTTCCATTCACCTTAGCCAGAGACTAGTCTCGTTATGTGTATGCTGGATTCTACTGTCTCTCTCCACACCGCATTTAAACATGCTTTGGCCTCTTCCCATTAAGAACAACCATCTAGCATCAGTCTGGAGGTGAGAGCCAGGCACTGATATTTTAAAAGCTCCCCAGTTGATTCTAGTTACAGCCAGGGCTGAAAAACATAAACAGAATAAAATCCTGTCTTCTTACTGTGGCAAACAAGGCTCTTCATAAACTGACTCATGCCTACCTTTCCTGCCCTTCCCATATGCCCTCTGAACTGGAGTCATACCAAACTACCTGTCACATCTCTTGCTTCCATGCCTTCACATACATGCTTCCCTCTGCTTAGAATGCCTTTCCCTGCTTTCTAGAAAGTGTCCTTTTTTTTTTTTTTGAGACAGAGTCTTGCTCTTGTGGCCCAGGCTGGAGTGCAATGGTGTAATCTTGGCTCACTACAACCTCTGCCCCCTGTGTCCAAGCGATTCTTCTGCCTCAGCCTCCTGAGTAGCTGGAATTACAGGTGCCCATCACCACGCCTGGTTAATTTTTTGTGTATTTTTTAGTAGAGATGGGGTTTCACCATGTTGGTCAGTCTCAGTCTGGTCTCAGGTAATCCACCCGCCTTGGCCTCCCAAAGTGCTGGGATTACAGGTGTGAGCCACCGCTCCCAGCCTAGAAAGTATGCTTTAATGTTCAACTTAAGTGTTATTTTTGTGTCACCTTCAAGAATTAGCCTCCACACTGGATTAAGGTGCCCCCGCACCCCAGTGCTTTCATAACCCTCTGGGTTTATCTCTGTGGGAACACTCACCATATGTAATCGCTCATCTATGTCTGTCTTTTCCATCAACCAAGTGTTTTGCAGGAACCCCAGGGCCATGAAGATGCAATTTGGTAGGATTTGGGGATAAGTGGCCTATATTAGATATTTGAGGATGCTCTCTCCCATCCATTCACTGTTTGCCAAACTGAACAAAATAAACTCAGGAAGTGGGAGAGGGGTGTGAAAGAACCTGAGACAAGAGCTGAACAACTGTCTTTGAGCATGTTCATTCATGTAGTCAGTCAGCATTTATTGAAGGCCTGCTATGGTCATTTACCAACGTGATCCAGGTAAATAAATACACAGTTGAAATTTCCTGTCACTATTGTGTTTGGCCTCAGGGACAGTTTCATTATCTATAATGGTCTGCTTTGTCTAGTGCACTCTTATGATGGACATTTAAACCAAAATCTCTCAGTAGTGCTCTCACAACAGTGGTTTGTACACAGTAACTGTTTAGGAAATAGTGTTAAAAGAATGCTCATGAATCTACATATAAGTCTATATCTTCAAAATATACTGCAATAAGTATATTTTGGGCACTTTCCCACCTTGTCCATTAAATGTTGAGACAGAAACAGTGCTAAGCACTTTACATGGGTTATCTCCTTCAGTCTTCACAGCAATCCTATGAGATAGGTACTGTTTTTGTTCCCATTTTATAGAGGTTCAGCAACTTACATAAGGTCACACAGGTACTAATTGGAACATTTAAACTCAAGCCTTTGGAATCAGGTGTGAACCCAGAGTCACTAGGGTATACCTGGCACACAGGCTTTCAGTAAATATTTATGGACTCAGTGAACAGGGAAATGGAAAGGCTTTTGAATTCTTATTGTCGTCTCCATTTGACTCTGAGTCCGTTGGCCTCTCTTCCTTTCTCACATCATCCCATTCACACGAACATTCACTCAACAAACATGGAGGATCAACTGAGTGCCAGACAATGGGCCTGATACTGGAGATATAGAGATGACAAAACCTGGCCCTGGCTAAGAGGAGCTTATAGTTTTGGGATTCGAATAAGCAGATAATTACATTTGTGAGAGCAAGAGGAGGGAGTGATTTACTGCCTAGGTGACTTGACTGTTCCTTGTGCTGAGCTGGGGGCAAGGCTTGAGGGTTGAGAGGGGTATGAAAGATGCTGTCATCCTCAGGGAATGGTTAAAGCACTGGGTGGGGCCCAGGAGAGTTGTCACAGGTAGAATGAGAGGACTAGGCAGGGACCAGATCAGGTAGGACCTTAGTGTACAGTATTAAGTTAGAAGTTGGAGCTTTTTAAATAATGAACTGTTCTGCCATTTCCTTTCAAGGATGGGTACTAATGGGCTGGGTCATGTACTGAGTCTGTACTTTGGCTCAGACCTCTTACCTAAGCTCTAGGACTAAACTTCCACATAGCTATATCCCACCATTTGTGGAGTCATTTATTTAATATTATTTATTGAGATGAGGTCTCTATCATTCAGACTGGAGTGTAGTGGCACAATCTTGGCTCACTGCAACTTCCACCTCCTGGGCTCAAGTCATCCTTCCACCTCAGCCTCCCATGTAGCTGGGACTATAGGCGTGTACCACCATGCCCAGATAATTTTTTGTAATTATTATTATTTTTTGAGATGGAGTCTTTCTGTCACCCACGCTGGAGTGCAGTAGTGTGATCTTGGCTCACTACAACCTGTGCCTCCTGGGTTCAAGCCTCCCCAGTAGCTGGGATTATAGGTACCTGCCATCATGCCCGGCTAATTTTTGTATTTTTGTAGAGATGGGATTTCACCATGTTGGCCAGGCTGGTCTTGAACCCCTGGCCTCAGGTGATCCGCCCACCTCAGCCTCCCAAAGTGCCAGGATTACAGGCATGAGCCACCACACCCAGCCAATTTTTTGTATTTTTTGTAGAGACAGGATTTCACCAAGTTGCCCAGGCTCGAAGTTGTTAGCTCAAGCAATCTGCTTGCTTTGGCCTCCCAAAGTGCTGGGATTACAGGTGTGAACCACTATGCCCATCCTGTCCCACCATTTGTGAACATCTTATTCTCTCAACTACTAAGTCTTCCGAATTCCTTATTCTTTTTTTGACACGGAGTTTCGCTCTTGCTGCCCAGGCTGGAGTGCAATGGCTCAATCTTGGCTCACTGCAACCTCCGCCTCCCAGGTTCAAGTGATTCTTCTGCCTCCGCCTCCTGAGTAGCTGGGATTACAGGCGTGTACTACCACACCCAGCTAATTTTTGTACTTTCAGTAGAGATGGGGTTTTGCCATGTTGGCCAGGCTGGTCTCAAACTCTTGACCTCAGGGTATCTGCCCACCTTGGCCTCCCAAAGTGCTGGGATTACAGGCCTGAGCCACCACGCCTGGTCAAGTCTTTTTTTAAAAAATGTGTTTATTTTCCTTGCGGAGCAGGGCTGCCCCATAGGCAGTGTGCCCAGAGTAGCCCAAATTTCCTAATTCTGTGCACTTTTACACCAACCAATCCTACAAGCAGTTATTCAATTGTGTGCTTCTGTTCCAGAGGCCGCCGGAGGTAGAAATTACATTTCACTAAAACCTAGTCCGTCCTTTGCCCCCACTAGTTGAGTCCAGTTAGTGAGTGTGGAGGTGGGGATTGGGGTGTGTGGAATAGGTAACTAAATATATAGAGCCAGTCCAGCTGTCTGAAGGAAAGCTCCACATTGTCCACCTCCTCCAATCCCATCAGTTTCCAGACCTTCTTTGGTCAGGCTGGCGTTCTCACCTGGTCTCCTTCCTGTGCCCTCCTCACACTGGCTGACAGAGTGAAGTGATTCAGACAGATAGACTGCAAGCCCCGTGAGTGCAGGGACGGTGGGTGGTCCATAAATGTCTGATGACTTAATGATACAAGCCTGATTATAGTCTTCTCAAAAATCTTTACTGTTTCTCCTCTGCTTCTAGAATAAAAATTAGATCGCCCCATTTGGCCTTCAGGACCTACTACTTTCAGCCACAGTCTGCCTCAGGTCCTTTTTTCCTTTCACTACCTCGAAGGCCAGTTTAGCCGGTGATTCACTATGCTTGCCCCGGGCCACTTGTATCCTCCCACTTCCATTCCAGGCTGCCTTCGAAAGCGGATCCTAACGCTTAGGGATCCTCCAAGTGTACAGGCTCGTGAGGCTTCTCTCCCGCTCAGACCTCCTGCCACCCCAGTCTACCCTCAGCACAGGCAGTGTGCTCCAGCCCGCCGCTCTGCGCTCACCCTGCAGGAGAGGGAGCTCTTTGAGGGCAAGGCCGAACTCTCCCCGAGAGCCCTAAGCCTGGCCTGCTGCACACAGACGTGCGGTCCTGCTGGGGAGCAGCCACCCGGGGACAAGCCCGGGCTCCGGGGTGCACGTCGGGAAGAAGCGGAGTGCTCCCAAGGCTACCAGGCCGCAGCCACCGACCAAGGCAAGCCCGGGCTGCGAAGGAAGGGGTTGGGAGCCCGGGCCGCGGCGCTTCCTGCCGGGACCCGGCGGCCCGCCCCTGCCCCCGCCCCGGCCGAGCTTGCGCTGCCGGCCTCCGGCCCTGCCGGCCGCCCAATCAGCGGGCGCCCCCGCCCCTCCCCCTCTGGTGACAGAAAGTCGGCCCAGCAGATGAGGAAGTGGCAGGCAGGCAGGCTGGCCCCAGGGACTTCTCTCTGGCCCTGTTCCCTCCGCGCCCTCCGCCGTTGCCCGCCTGGCCCCTACGGGTGAGTCTGGACCTTCCACCGGCTCTCCACGTGCCGGCGCCCCCTGTCTGGCCAGCCCGGCTCAGCCCGGCTCAGCCCTGCCCTGCCCTGCCCAGACTGTGGGCGAGGCTGTTCCCGCGGCCGGTGGGTGGGAGGTCCCAGCTCCCTGGGGCCGGGCCTCGCCAGCACCCTCCCTCCCCCACACCCGCGTCCCTGGCCCCCATTTGCTTACACCCAGGCCTTCCTCCACCACTCCTGCTTTTGCCCTTCTCCTTCCTCCTCTCACCTCCCTCCCCCCCGCTCCCCTAACTTTGCCAGGCTCCTTTTCCCTTCCATCCATCTTAAAGGAAGGAAGGGACGGGCTGAGTTCTCCCACGAGGGACACACCCAGATTTTCCTGCAACTTGGGGAGAGGTCGTCCCAAGAGCCTTGGGTCCCTCCTGGCCTGCAGGGTGTGTGGGTTGATCTTGGGGGCTGGTGGTTGAGAGATAACAGGCTGGCCGGCTCCCTTGTGTCAGGGAGGAACCTGTGTTGGCGCCCTCGCCTCCGCCTGGGCCCTGCAGTGGATGGGCGGCCAGCAAGCCGGAGGGTGGGGGAGCAAGTGAGGAGGGGATCCGAGCGTGACCAGGCAGCGCGCACACGTGTGTGAGTGGCCCCGCGGGTGAGCCCGTGCGTGTGCCTGGGCGGCGGCCGAGCTACATAAGAGCCAGGAGCCACGCGTGCCAGCCCACGGAGGTGTTGGGTGGTGTGTCAGGCAGGTGACGTGTGTGCCAGCCCTCGGCGTGGCGCCTTGGCCATTGGGGGTGGAGAGGTGGGTGAGGGGCGGTGTGGACCTCAGGCTTGGGGCCTGACTACGGGGGGCCTAGAGAAGGTGGACCTCCTGGAGGTGTGGGAGAGTAGCTGTGAGGGGTGTGCGGGGCGGGAGATGTCAGAGGTGTGCCTCTTCACTCGCACCTGCGCAGGTGCTTCTCTGGAAGCAGGGAGCCTGGGGCACCTGCTGCCCCAGGGGCCCTGCTCTGTTCCGAGAATGCCTTGTCCCTCAGGGACTGTGTCAGTACCAGGCTCTCCTGGGTCTGGCCAGAGGTGTTTGTGTCCCTGGGAGCCTTCCCCCGACATTCCTTCAGGCCCTGAGGGGGAGGGGGCCTAGCTTATCAGGACCCCTCCCTGAGGGAGGGGAAGATTCCTGCGACCTCCCCCACTCCTCCACGCCCTCACATGCCACTGGCTTCCCTGACCCTCCCAGGAAGGAAGGAGTGCTTGTACCCATTCTGAAATAGGACAAACTGAGAAGTTATGGCCGGCTTAGGAGACGATGCTGGGTGTGGATTTTCAGCAGTGCTTTGGGCCAGGGCTGGGGCCGGAGTCGGAGGAGGTTTCTAGTTCAGAACCTAGGACCTTAGCTTATCGGGCTGGTCCCGGGTGGGTGGGTGGGTGGTGAGTCTGGGGCTTTTCTTGGCTTTCCCAATCCTGGTTGGTCCTGCTCCCCAAGGCACTGACCTGTGGCCTGAACCCACCCTCCACCCCAGGCGCAGTACAGCGGGGGCGGGCGGAGGGCGGGGCTGCTGCCAGATCTAGTCAGACAGGTGGAGCCGCCGGGGCAGGAGTCTCAAAGAGCCAGGCTCCAGGAGAGGAAGGGCTCTGCCAGAGGAGAGAGGAGAGCGCCGGAGAGGAGAGGCTGGAGGTGAGAGCCCCGGGAAGGCAGAGGAGAAACGTAGGGAGATGAGTGTCCCAGCAGGAGCAAGAAGGAATCCCAGGATAAGGTTCTGGAAGGGACACAAAGGCCCAGGGAGGTGAGATTCCTGGCAGGGACAGGAGGGATCCTGGGGAGAAGAATAGAGTCCCGGGAAATGTCCATAGGGACGGGAAGAGGAGAGGGCAGGAGAGGAGAGACTGAAGGGGAGAAATCCCTGGAGAGAAGAAAGACCCAGAGCTGGAGAGGTAAGGAACTTGGGTGAGGAGGGGAGACGGAGTTCATTCTGAAGATGAGCTCCCTGTTGGTGAGGAGGTAAGACTCTCCAGTAAGAGACCTGGAGTTGAGAGTTCTCTTATGGAGGAGGAGGGAAAAGGAGGCCAGGAAGTAAAACTGTGGAGAGGAGAGCAGAGTAAGGTGTGGAGAGGAAGGGTGGAACAGCCCTTCCCAGGTAGGCAGGATGTGTGGGGAGCAGATGCCTCCACCAAACTGCCTCCTCCCCCTAGTCCCCAGTAATTCCTTCCTTTCACTATTCTGTCCTTTCTGCAATGAGGCATTGGGAGTTTTCTGGTTCTGTGTCATCTCTGTGGGATGGGGGTGTGCAGTGGACTCTGCTTGACATCCACCCTCTGTACCTCCCCAGAGTCCTTAGCCAGAATGGAGGCTGTCGTGAACTTGTACCAGGAGATGATGAAGCATGCAGGTAAGACGCTGTCTACCAGCCCTTTCTTCCCTTCTTTCTCGGGACCCCTGAATCTAGGGCTGTCTTCTAATGGAGAGTTCCTATGAACCCCTTGACCCTTTGTGACCTGACCTCATGTCTGTAGACCTAATGAAGACCCTTTGAACCCTGTGACCCTTCCTAACTCCTTGGACCCTTATTCGTAGATCCCCGGATCCAGGGCTACCCTCTGATGGGGTCCCCGCTGCTAATGACCTCCATCCTCCTGACCTACGTGTACTTCGTTCTCTCACTTGGGCCTCGCATCATGGCTAATCGGAAGCCCTTCCAACTCCGTGGCTTCATGATTGTCTACAATTTCTCACTGGTGGCACTCTCCCTCTACATTGTCTATGAGGTGGGCCCCTGGGATGCAGGGCTTTAATTTCTGTCAGCAGGATGAGGAACAGGCCATAAAGCCAGATATGGCATTTCTCCTTTCCAGAGAGGTTCAGATCCATGTCCTCAGCTAGTGAAGGGGAGGGATGGCTGGGAAGGGAGAACTCTGGTGGTCTAATCCACACCCCTTCCTAGTTCCTGATGTCGGGCTGGCTGAGCACCTATACCTGGCGCTGTGATCCTGTGGACTATTCCAACAGCCCTGAGGCACTTAGGGTAAGTAGGGGCTGGGGCTAGGTCATAAGCAACCTGGTGAATAGGACCAGTTTGGGACCTGTGCTCAAGGCCCAGTTTAGGCAGGCTCTTAGAAGAGTGTATGAGGTCCTAAGGCTGTCCCAATTTCTTGCAGATGGTTCGGGTGGCCTGGCTCTTCCTCTTCTCCAAGTTCATTGAACTGATGGACACAGTGAGTAGTTATATGAGATGTGAGAACTTGTGGGGAGAATGAGGTGGAGAGGCCAGGTTCTGAAACCCCTTCCCTCACTCTTCTCTTAGGTGATCTTTATTCTCCGAAAGAAAGACGGGCAGGTGACCTTCCTACATGTCTTCCATCACTCTGTGCTTCCCTGGAGCTGGTGGTGGGGGATAAAGATTGCCCCGGGTGAGTGGAGAAGGCCACTATGGGAAGAGGGTGGGCACCAGAGGCTGGACTCTGCTGACGCTGTCTTATTGTCCACTCATAGGAGGAATGGGCTCTTTCCATGCCATGATAAACTCTTCTGTGCATGTCATAATGTACCTGTACTACGGATTGTCTGCTCTTGGCCCTGTGGCTCAACCCTACCTTTGGTGGAAAAAGCATATGACAGCCATCCAGCTGGTGAGGGGCTTGGCCTGACCTACCTATAACCATCCCCCCATGTTCCTAGCTTGGATCCTGCCTTTATCCAGTCTCTCACCTTTGACCCCATCTCTCCCTACTCAATGTTATCTCTTTCTCTACCCCCTCTTCCCCTCTAGTTCTCACCGTTCCCTCTGACCCTGGCCTTTCTCTGTCCTAGATCCAGTTTGTCCTGGTCTCACTGCACATCTCCCAGTACTACTTTATGTCCAGCTGTAACTACCAGTACCCAGTCATAATTCACCTTATCTGGATGTATGGCACCATCTTCTTTGTGTTGTTCTCCAACTTCTGGTATCACTCTTATACCAAGGGCAAGCGGCTGCCCCGTGCACTTCAGCAAAATGGAGCTCCAGATCTTGCCAAGGTCAAGGCCAACTGAGAAGCATGGCCTAGATAGGCACACACCTAAGTGCCTCAGGACTGCACCTTGGGCAGTATCCATCAGTGCCCTCTTCACCTACACCTGTGACCAAGGCTTACGTGGTCAGGACTGAGCAGGGGACTGGCCCTCCCCTCCCCACAGCTGGTCTACAGGGACCACCGCTTCCGTTCATCACCTACTTCCCCCGGCCAGCTCCAGGGACGTGGCCTCATTGCTGTCTGCCACTCCAGAGCTGGGGACTAAAAGGGCTGGACAGTTACTTCCCCCTCCCTACCTTAAACTTGGGAGAGGAGCACTCAGGGCTGGCCCCACGAGGGTCTCGTGGCCTTTTTCCTCACACTAAAGAGGTCAGCAATAACCTGTCACTGTGGACCCAGTCTCCTTCCTCCGCCCCAGATGCTGAAGCGTTAGCTTCTGGGCCAAAGGTCAGGGTGGGCGGGGGCCTGGGAGTACAGCCTGTAGAGGCTGCTTACTCACTTGTCTTAATTAAAAGTGACAGAGGAAACCACGGAGGCTGTGGTGTATACATATGTGAATGGAGGAGGTAGGGAAACAACACCCTTGGCCCTGTTCATAAACAGGAGGGATAGATGGTCAAATCTCCCAGGAGACATTTCTAGCTCTCTGATCCAAGTAGAGTAGAGCCCCTAGGAAGGCTGCTAGGACATAGGTCATGAAAGAATAAAGGGATTAGCTGAAACAGATAAACATGAAGGGAGACATGACTTTATTAGAAAAATAAAAAACAACTAAGGTGATGGCTTGGTCTTCAGCGGATGCCTTGGTGGATGAGGCTGCTTTTAGCTGCATTAGCCTTCTCCCGCTCCCGCCGCCGTGCAGGGTCCAACTCAAAACAGCGCCATAGCCTCAGGGTCTCATCTGCTGCTGCAGATGCCACTGTGGCCCCATCTGGGCTCATGGTCAGACTCAGGACCCGGGATGTGTGACCTGGAGCAAATGAGAACAGTACATATGAATGCTGATGCAGCCACAGCCCGCCCATAAAGGAGGCACTGGGCCACACACCTCCCCTTTTTTGTAACATTATTGAATATAATTCACATACTATAAAATTCATCCTTTTAAAGTGTGCAGTTTAGTGGTTTTTAGTATATTCACAAAATTGTACAACTGCTGAAACTAATTCTAAGACATTTTCAGCATTTCTCATTACCCTCTCTCCTAGCCCCTAGCAACCATTAATGTGTTTTGTCTCTGGATTTGCCTATTGTGGATATTTCAGTCAAACAGTATGTGGCCTTTTATGTCCAGCTTTTCACCTAGCCACCTACCTTTCAGTTCAGCCACCTTGGCCATGGTTGGGTACTTCCAGATAACCAGCTGGTTCTGTGAAAAGCCGTGGCCTGAGATGAGCTCCTTGTAGTGGGGAGACCAGAGGATGGAGCACACCTGTGGAGAGGAGCTAGTGTGTGCATGACATACAGCCAAGGCTACTTAAATCAGAACTGAGTCCATTCTAGTGACAGGCACCCTGCCACATGCTCCAGACTCAGACTTGAATGCACATTCAAGTTCAGTAGGTGACCAGAGCCAGAATTTGAACTTGGGCCATCTGGCTCTAGAGTCCATATCTATAGTGAAGGTTGAATGTGGGGGGGAGTGGAAGGAGAGAGCCTCAAATATCTCTCTAATGGATTTGGATTATATGCCATAGGTGATGAGAAGCCATCACAGGTTTAAGGACAGTATAACAGACCACAGCATGGAGGATGCATTGTAGAGATAAAAGAGAATGCTTGAGACCAGTGAGGAAGCCATTGTAGTGGGCCTCCACTGGGAAGGATGAAGAGGGGACAGATGTCAATGATATTCTGAAGTAAAACTGATAGATCCTGGTGAGGAGGATTAAAGATTCTAGTAGGCTTTTCAGATTTCTGAGCAGGTTCTGCCATTCTAAAGCAATGTGAGAGAGGAAGGATTTCAGGGAGGCAAGGGGAAGTGACATTTCACTCCCACATTTCAGGGAGTCAAGGGGAAGTGACAAGGTTAATTTGGGACAGATCAAGGTGGTGGTGCCTATAGGACATAGGATTGGAGACAGGCACAGACTATTGGAAATGAAGCTCATGAGTGAAAGCAGAGTTAGAAGTTTGGGAATCACCAGGGCATAGAGTTGGTGAAGCCATTGGAGTGGATGTAGATGCCCAGTAAGCATGCATGTGGGGCCGGGTGCCATGGTCACGCCTGTAATCCCAGTACTTTGGGAGGACAAGGCGGGTGGATCATGAGGTCAGGAGTTCGAGGCCAGCCTGGCCAAGATGGTAAAACCCTGTCTCTATTAAAAATACAAAAATTAGCTGTGCGCAGTGGCAGGCGCCTGTAATCACAGCTACTCAGGAGGCTGAGGCAGGAGAATTACTTGAACCCGGGAGGCAGAGGTTGCAATGAGCTGAGATCATGCCATGTACTCCAGCCTGGGTGACAGAGCAAGACTCCGTCTCAAAAAAAAAAAAAAATGCATATGGGACAGGTGGGAACAGCCAAAAGATTACCTGGGAATGGGCATCCACAGCACTCAGACAAGCCCCAGAGCACACATTCCAGATGCGAATGTGTCGATCACTGGTGCCTCCTCCTGTTGCCAGGACATTGGACTGCCAGGGACACCATGCTACAGCCTAGGTGGGATAAAGGTGAGGTTAGCAGGTACTAAAGCTAGACAAGGAGCTGTAGGGGTCACAGATTAACCCAGTCCAATCCTACCGTCCCTTCTCCCCTTAACAGTCCCTGGGTTATATGTGAAGGTCTGCAGAGGCTTCAGCCCAACCCCACTCACCTTGACAGCCCCTTGATGCTGGGTGAATGTTTGCAGAGGAACCCAGCCACCCTCTCCAGGAGCACTAGGCCACACATTGACCAAGTTATCATTGCCACCACTGGCCAAATGTCGTCCATCTGGGGCCCAGCGCAGCCCACACACTTCCTGGCTGTGGCCACTCAGTGTGGCCACATGGTGTTCTGCTACCCGAACATCATGGTGGTGGATATGGCCAGAACGTGATCCACTGGAGGAGGGAAGAAGGGAATCAGGTTCTGTGGCAGCACCAAATGCAAGCAAGCCAGAGCTGCTTCAGTTCAGGGGTGTACAGTCAAGGGCAGGGTGGGCAAAAATCAGACTGAATACCATAGATTAACAAAAACCACTGACCTGGACAGGATATAGCTGTTCCAACTTAGGGAGCCCACTCGGGCAGAGTGACTGGTCATATTTCGAAGCCGTTTCTGCTGCTGCACATCCCATAGCTACAGAGAGAAGCCCACTGGGATGAGATTGGGACTTGATATAAATATCCTCCAGCTGTGCAAGCCTATTGCGACTGGGGAGAACTACAGGGCAGGGACATGTCTCACCTGCACCTCAGCACTGCTGGTGCCCACAGCCAAGTAGTTGCCCTCTTTGATCCAGGCCACAGAGGATACATATTCCCCAGGCTGCTCCATTTGCAAAAGCTGCAGGATGTCACCAGAGCTTGCACTCCACAGGTACACACTGTTGTCCAGTGCCACAGCCAGGACATTCCCAGAGCTCCAATCCACAAGGTTCAGGTCTGTCAGAGGTGGAGAGAAGAGCATGAGCTTCCTTGTTTGCCTGGTCCCAGGCCCTCCTTCTCCCTCTATGAAGCTAGGACAAGGATGCACTTACAGTAGTCATTTCGGATTTCTGGGGCATCCAGGATACGATCTGGCAGGGAAGGAATGTAACGGCAGGTCTTCCGGCTGGAACCAGGCGTGGCCTTTTGACTGTAGAGTACTTTCAGTCTGTTCTGGTAACCTGTGGCAACGGATTGGGTCTAGACGCTGGGAAAATCAACACCTCTCTTGCCCTCAGTCTTAGATGGGAAGAGCAGACAGATATCTGCGTTCAACCCTGGGGATAAACTGACACTTCCCTCGAGGAACCAGGAACTTCAGGTCTTACCCTCTGGGGCATTTTGTGGTTTTCCACTGAGCCGAAGGATCTTGGCTTCCTCTACATCAAAACCGTTCAGGTTCAAAGCCCAGGCTTTCTGATATTCCTGGTATAAAGGGTGGTGGAGAAGCAAGATGGTATTATCCAAAGAACAGTCAGGTCCTGTGCCTTAAGCCCCTCTGGGACACATACCTTCTTGGTGGGCGTCTGGCTGTTTTCAGGCTGGTTCTCCTTGCTCAGGAGGAAGCTGGCCACCTCCATCTGGGCAGCACTGCGTTGGGGGATATAGCGGTCACCGCCAGGTTTGCTAGGAGTGGTCTGAACCTTGGAACTGGATTTGCCTGGGGCGGAGAAAGAGAAAATACAGTCGGACCGGGCTCCCTGGGTGAGGAAGCATGAAGGCTACTTTCAGCCAGTCCCTCTGTCACCCCACTGACCAGGAGTTCGGCCCGGAGTCCTGCCAGCGCTGTGGGATCGGTTGGCGGCCCGCATGGGTGAAGGGGCCGGGCCTGCGGCTTCCTTGGCTTTGCGCTGCCAGCGCGCGGGGGGTGCATTGGGGATGGGTGTATCCAGCTGAAGCAGCGAGTGCAGGTCACTCTCGAACGCGAACTGAGCCATGGGAGCGCCCGCAGTGGGAGGGGTCCTTGCAGTTGGTGCCTGCGGAGCCCTGGAGAAAGGAGGCGACGGTGCTCAGGGGACAGCGAGGGACCCCTTCGCTCCTGGCCGGCCACACAATCAGGGCCACCCTCGGCTGCAGCCCCTTCCAGCCTAGCACCCCATTCCCCTGGCCACGGCCCTACCTCGGCTCAGCCCCGCCACCTCTCACCGTGCGCTCCCTAGCAGGTTGCAGTTCCGACCGGCTTTAACACGCCTGGCTTACGCCTCTTAAACTCTCCGCTTCGAGCACCCATTGGCTCCTTCAAAACGCAACCGTCGCAACCGTTGCCCTCGCCCATTGGCCTCTCCGGCTCAGGGGGCGGGTCTTCCGGGGCAAGTCTCAGCTCTCACGAGAGTCCAGATGCGGAGCGCGATTTGAAGGGTGCGAGAGGGGCTGGGAGTCGGCGCCGGAGGACCGGTGCTGAAAGGTGGGCGGGGCATGCGCTGCCTCCGCGTCCTCGAGTATCCTCTGTGTTCCTTCTCCCGCCGCGAGCTCAGAATGTCTGGCCTGGGTGCTTCCGAGAGCCTGCGGAAGTTTACACTTAAATCCTGCACGAGGGTCGTATTTATGATGCAGAACTCGGTGCAGAACCCGGTGGAGTGCCCAAGGCGCTTGAGCTGTTTCTGGGAGGGCAAGGAGAGCCGCGGGCGGCAGCGCGGCAAGGGATGAGAGTTGAGAAGCGTGGGAGCGAGTTGAGAATCTTGGGAGCAGGAAGAAGGCCAGAGCTACTTAGGGTACATTCCACTTTTGCTTGGCCCCGGGTAGGAACCCTGCTGGAAAGGAAGTAACGTGTGTTTGTCTTGTTTGCTGTTGTTTTACAAACAGGGGAAATGAGGTTGAAAAGGGGGAATGAATTCCTTAAGGTCAAGAAAAAGGATCGGTATTCTAACCTGCCTATCTGGAAGATAAGGTTAGACTGCCCTACAGGAAGCACTGTGGCTTACCCCATGGGGCTTTAAAGGTGTGAGGGCCTTACAGATCCATTACTCTAACCTGTGCGTTGTGCACCCTCCCCACTCCGACAAATCCATATTCTACAGATGGAGAAACCGGGGCACAGGTAAGGGATGTGCCCGAGGTCATACAAAGAAGTTTGTGGGAATCCAGGTGTGACGCCCACTCAATCCAGTGCTCTAATGATGATTTGAGTAAATTGTTTCAATGTGCTCAGAGGTGGAGCAGCATTCATAAAAATAATAATGATACCATTTATGGACCATCTAACTACCGTGTTAAAACAGTTTACATATATTATCGAGTTCAATCCTTAATCCCATAAGGCAGATAGATATCCTATCTTCCTTTTACAGAAAAAAGAAACTGGGCCAGAGAGATTAGAAACTTGCCCAAAGGCATGCAGCCAATAATAAGTAGGGGAACCCAGGATTCAAACTATCTGACTAATCCCTGCAATCATAACAATATGCTATACTGTCCCAGAAAGAGGCTGAAAAAAATCAGGTTTTTGATCGTTAGCCTAAAGTCCACTCTGATGCTGACAGAGAAAAATGTGGGGCTCTGCCAAACTTAATATTGTTATTAGTTTTGACTTGAAACCTTCATGTTTTCTATTTCCAATTACCTTGGAAAATAAGAAATTGAATATGCTTAGATTAGAGGTGGGGAGTTCCCAGAAAACATAGAAAAGGTTGTCTAGTGTCAAGCTAGTCAGGGTCTTAAATGTTAAGGTAAGGACTTTGTACTTTATCTGCTAGGCATTGTGGACCCTGTGGGGTTTCTGTGTAGGGAAGGACCAAACAAAACATATCTGAGGGGTAGGCTGGGCGCGGTGGCTCACGCCTGTAATCCCAGCACTTTGGGAGGCCGAGGCGGGTGGATCATGAGGTCAAGAGATCGAGACCATCTTGGTCAACATGGTGAGACCCCGTCTCTACTAAAGATACAAAAAATTAGCTGGGCATGGTGGCGCGTGCCTGTAATCCCAGCTACTCGGGAGGCTGAGGCAGGAGAATTGCCTGAACCCAGGAGGCGGAGGTTGCGGTGAGCCGATATCGTGCCATTGCACTCCAGCCTGGGTCACAAGAGCGAAACTCCGTCTCAAAAAAAAAAAAAAAAACATATCTGAGGGGTGAATATGGCCAGTAATTTGCAACCGCTGGATTAATGATAGCTGTCGAGAAGGATAAAGGAATTTGTACATTTAAAAATAAAGGATTCATGGGCATAATAGTCCAAGAAAAAAAAGACAAGAAAAGAAAAGGATTTCGGCGGGTGTGGTGGCTCACACCTGTAATCCCAGCACTTTGGAAGGCTGAGGCAGGCAGATCACTTGAGGTCAGGAGTTCAAGACCAGCCTGCCCAACATGGCGAAAACCCGTCTCTACTAAAAATAAAAAATTAGCCAGGTGTGATGGTGCACACCTGTAATCCCAGCTACTCTGGAGGCTGAGGCAGGGGAATCTCTTGAACCTGGGAGGTGGAGTTTGCAGTAAGTGAGATCATGTCACGGTACTCTAGCCTGGGTGACAGAGGGAGACTTTGTCTTAAAATAATAATACTAAAATAAAGGAATGAAGGAAGACAATAGAAATTATACAGATGTGGATCTTGAAGTAGGAGATACTCCAATATGACATAAAGTAGTCAAATGGAATGATTATAAAAAGATCGTATTTGGCCATTGAATATCAAATCACTGATGACTTTGGAGAGAGCAGGATCAGGAAAGTGGGTGCTTGAGATCCATTTGGGAGGAATTGCAGAAAGAATGAAACAGGGAGAATGGAAGCCAACAAGCATAGGTGGCTCGTGTTGCCCATCCCCTGATAGCCTCTGTGTTGGTTTGCTAAAATTGCTATAACAAAGTACCACAAACTGGATGGCTTAAATGACAGAAATTGGTTGTCTCACAATTCTGGAGATTGGAAGTTCCAGATCAAGGTGTCTGTCCTCTGAGAGCTGTGAGGGAGACTCTGTTCCATGCCTTTCCCCTGGCTTCTGGTGGCTTGCCAGCAATCTTTGGCATTCCTTGGTTATAGAAGAATCACCCTGTTCTCTGCCTTCATCTTCATTTGGCTTTCTTTCTATGTGTATGTGTGTCCAATTTTCTCTCTCTCTCTCTTTTTTTTCAAACAGTATTGCTCTGTTGCCCAGGCTGGAGTGCAGTGGCGCGATCTCAGCTCACTGCGACCTCTGCCTCCTGGGTTCAAGCAATTCTGTCTCGGCCTCCCACGTAGCTGGGATTACTGCCCAGATAATTTTTGTATTTTTAGTAGAGATGAGGTTTCACCATGTTGGCCAGGAAGGTCTCCATCTCTGAACTTCATGATCTGCCCACCTCAGCCTCCCAAAGTGCTGGGATTACAGGTGTGAGCCACGCTGTGCCTGGCCCAACTTTCTCTTTTCATAAGAATACATAAGAATACCAATCATACTGAATTAGGGCCCTGACCCCATCTTAACTAATTTATTATTATTTTTGAGATGGAGTCTTGTTCTGTTGCCAGGCTGGAGTGCAGTGGAGTGATCTCGGCTCACTGCAAATGGAGTGATCTCGGCTTACTGCAACCTCCACCTCCTGGGTTCAGGTGATTCTCATGCCTCAGCTTCCCCAATAGCTGGGATTAGAGGCACACGCCACCACACCCAGCTAATTTTTGTATTTTTAGTAGAGATGGGGTATCACCATGTTGACCAGGATGGTCTCGATTTCCTGACCTTGTGATCTGCCTGTCTCAGCCTCCCAAAGTTCTGGGATTACAGGTGTGAGCCACTGCGCCCAGCCCCATCTTAACTAATTATGTCTGCAATGACCCTATTTCCTAATAAGGTCATATTTGAAGTACTGGGAGTTAAGATTTCAACAGCTGGCTGGGCATGATAGTTTACACTTGTAATCTCAGTGCTTTGGGAGGCCAAGGCTGGAGGATTGCTTGAGCCCATGAGTTTAGGACTAGCTTGGGCAACATAGTATCACTCCGTCTCTAAAAAAATACAGGAAACGTTAGCCAACCTGGTGCTGCACACCTGTAGTCCCAGTAGTCCCAGGTACTTGGGAGGGTGAGGTGGGAGGACTGCGTGAGCCCAGGAGTTTGAGGCTGCAGTGAGCCGTGACCACACCAATGCATTCCAGCCTCAGTGACAGAGCAAAGACCTTGTCTCAAAAGAAAAAGCGGGTTTTCTTTTTGTTTTTGTTTCGAGATACAGTCCTACTCTGTCACCCAGGCTGAAGTGCAGTGGTATGGTTTTGACTCACTGCAACCTCTGGCTCTCGGGTTCGAGTGATTCTTGTGCCTCAGCCTCCCAAGTAGCTGGCATTACAGGCATGCACCCCTGTGCCCAGCCAAAAAGAAAAAAAAAGACTAACTTGAATTTGAGGGAGAGGAGAGGAATATAATTCAATTCAATTCATAATATCCTATTGGTGGGAACCCAAGCAGAAACCAAAGCCCAAGGGAATGCTTTGATGCAGGCCACATGAATCAGCCTTGCTGAGCATAGGACAAGATGGAGAAGGGTGGTGAGTAGGTCTGGGTGGGACAAATGAATAACATCCAATATACCCACTCTCCATAATTCCTTCCCAGCCATGTGAAAGGCTCTGACTTTACTCCTAGGGACCCAAAACTAGATTGGGCAGAGAGCATTAGCTTGAGCTGTCTGTCCCCCCTGGCTCTCATTGCTACCTGCCCATAGGTCAGCTGCATCCCTCTACCAAAGGCCACAGCTCCTGCCAGGCAGCCCTCTCTTACAGCTACTCTCTGGGATCTGGGACCCACTCCCTCCCTTACCCCTTGATGCATAAGGCAGGTGCCAGCTCCTTGTTGTTGTTAGCCTCAGAGGTACTTGCACTGTTCCTTGATGGTTTTCCCAAATCTTGTCCTCATCTTTGTAAATACTGTTTGCCCTTTATTACACTCCCATCAAGTTACCCAAATTGAGTGTGCCTTCTATTTCTGCCAAGACCCTGACTGATACAGTGGGTATGTTTGGAGCCAACAAAAAACAATGACAACAAAACCATTTGTTTGAGAAGTAGAATGTGTTAGGAGAGTCCATAACCAGGACTGTCTAAGCATATTTACTGCTGCATATGAACAGTTTAGAGGATGAGGACAGTTGGCATGGTGTTAAGGTAACCTTGCCCGGAAAGATTTCATTTGTTTAGAAAAAATTTATTGAAGGCCTACTATCATGCACCAAGCAGTACTCTAGGTGCTGGGGGAAGACGACAAGTAATTCATGGTCCTTTCCCTCAAGGAGCTTACAATCTAGTAGCAGGGGACAGACACATAACCAGTTGGTTGCAGTATAAGCCTGAGCTGGAGATAAGAACTTTGGAATGGTCAACATATAATAAAGGCAGAGAATAGATGGGATTGGAGACTGTTAAGAAATGGAATCTTGAAGGACTGTAACAATTGGAAGAAATGCTAGAAGAAGAGAGTAAGAAGGAATAATTACAACAGTAGTTCAGATATATTAATCATTTACTATGTCCTAGGCACTGTGCTTTACTTAGATTATCTCAATCCTTGTCACAACTCTGTGGGGTGCTGTTATTATGCCTGTTTTATAGATGAGAACACGAAGGCTCAAAGACATTAAGTTATGTGCCCAAGGTTGCACACCTAGCAGATGTGAAGGACAGGAATTGAATTCAGCGTTGACTCTAGATCTAGTTTATTCTCTTAACTACTAGTATACTCAGCCAGGTGCGATGGCTCATGCCTGTAATCTCAGCGCTTTGGGAGGCCAAGGTGGGTGGATCACCCAAGGTCAGGAGTTCAAGACCACCCTGGGCAACATGGTGAAACTCCCTGTCAACTAAAAATACAAAAATTAGCTGGGTGTGATGGTGTGTGCCTATAATCCCAGCTACTAGGGAGGTTGAGGCACAAGAATCGCTTGAACCCGGGAGGTGGAGGTTACAGTGAGCAAGATTGCGCCATTACACTCCAGCCTGGGTGACAGAGTGGAACCCTGTCTTAAACAAAAAAGCTACTGGTATACTCAAAGAGGCAGTAACAGAGCCAGCAGGGAAGGTCAAGTTATAGAAGCCAAGGTAGGAAATAATTTAAAGAAGTGAGTAGGCAGCCATGACAAATTTTGCAGAGAGATCAAAGGAACCAATGATTAACGAGATCCTATTGGATCTTCGAATTAGATGTGAGGTGAACTTTGCCTGGGCAGTTTCACTAGCAAAGTGGTAGAAGGGGAACTAATTGAAGTAGTCTGAAGAGTAAATGGGAAGTGGGGAAGTGGAGGCTTGTTTTCAAGGCATTTGGCATTAAAGAGGAGAAAGCACGTAAAGGAGGAGTTTAGTGAAATGAGCCTGCCTGTGGAGAAAGGGTTCTGGTTTTATGTCAGCATCAGTGGACTAAGATCAGTGCGATGAAGCCTAACTATAAGGGCAGACAGAGGGATGGAAGTGATGTCTGGGGTGCTTGTGTTGTGGGGGTAGGGTAGGAAGGTTCACAGAGCGCCTGGAGGGTTTAGCTCTCAGGGAAGTGGGAGTGAGGAGCCTGTCCTCAGGGTTGTTGCCAATAGCTTAGTGGTAGGTAGGAATGGTTGGAGATATTGGTGGAACGTGGGGACCCTGACTCAGCCATGGGTGGGCGCACAGACAGGGGCATGGTCCCCAGGCAAGAAGGCTGCAGTCTTCGGTAGTTCATCTGGGCCTGGGAGGAACACACGGGCAAAGGAGTCCCCTCTGAGGATTTAGGGAGGATTTCAAGGAGGCTGGGTTCCACTTCTTCACAGGTATCTGAGACTGTGGCCTTGGGCTGAGAGAGATGAGCAGAGGTGCTGGATTAGAGCAGATCCTGTGGGAAGAGGCACTGGACTGTATAGAAAGGAGAAGGGCTAGGGTAGAGCTGGGGTAGTGCCTGGGGATGGCACGCTGGTAGGCAAGGACCTTGAACAAGTTGTGTTGTGGGGGCAAGGATCCAGCACCCAGCAGGGTTGGTGGTGGGCACAGGGTAGAGGAGCACACTCACCGGACTTGGGGCTGCAGTGTCCCTAAGGTACTGGCCTAGGACCCGGTGCAGGTCTGGAAGTGAGGGCCACAGCACATGCCTCAGTCTCCTGGGGGAGAAAGAAGAGAAGCAGACTGAGCCAGGGCAGTGAATTGGGAGGGAGGAGGAGAGCAGTTGGGATGGGGGAGCGCTGAGGACAGGGAGTAAGGCCTGGAGAGATTAGAGCATAGTCAAGGCAATACAGTCAGGAAGGGGAGTAGAGGTAAGAAGAAAACCTGAGGTAGGGGAGGGAAGTCATTGATGGGCAGGTTCAACAAAGGGTGCTGCAGTTTCCTCAAACATTCCAATGGACAGAAAGTGCCCTCTGTCTGGAACACTGGATTCATTCCCTCACCTCATTGTAGGCCTCTGTTCAAATGTCATCCCTCACTACCCTGCCTGAAATTCAGTAGTCTCCCTTTATCTGCAGGGGATATATGTCAAGACTCCCAGCAGATGGTTTTCCTATATGTACATACCTCTGACAGTTTACAAATTAGCCATAGTTGGCCAGGCGTGGTGGCTCAAGCCTGTAATCCCAGCACTTTGGGAGGCCGAGGTGGGTGGATCACAAGGTCAGGAGATGGAGACCAGACTGGCCAACATGGTGAAACCCCATCTCTACTAAATACAAAAAATTATCCAGGTGTGGTTGCTGCACCTGCAGTCCCAGCTACTTGGGAGGCTGAGGCAGGAGAATTGCTTGAACCCGGGAGGCAGAAGTTGCAGTGAGCCGAGATCACACTACTGCACTCCAGCTTGGAAACAGAGCAAGACTCCATCTCAAAAAAAAAACAACAAAAAAAAATTAGGCACAGTAAGATATGAACAATGACTAATAATAAAATAGAACAATTATAACAATATGCCAACAACATCACTACTCTTGTACTCTTGTACTTTGGGGCCACTATTAACTAAAATAGGGGTTACTTGAACATAAGCACTGCACTACCGCAGTGAGTCGATCTGATAACCAAGATGGCCACTAAGTGACTATGGGGCAGGGAGTGTATACAGCATGGAGATGCTGGACAAAGAGATGACTTACATCCCTGGTGGGACACAGTGGGATGGCAAGAGATTTCATCATGCTACTCACAATTTAAAATGCATGAATTATTTATTTCTGAAATTTTCCATTTAATTTTTTGGACCTTAATTGACCAAGTATAACTGAAACCACAAAAAGTAAAACTATGGATAAGAGGGGACTACTGTAGTGCCACTTCCCTTCCCCATCACACTCTTTCTCCTGCTGTACTTTGTTTTTCTTTATAGCACTTGTACATTTATTATACTGTTAAATGTATTTCTTTTTGTCTATCTCACATCACTAGAACATATGCTCCCCAAGAACAGAGAGTTTGTCTATTTGTTCACTCCTATATTTCTCGGGTGTAGAATAGTGTCTGGCCCATAGTAGATGATCAGTAAATTAGCTGAATGAAGAAAATCAGTGGAGCTTATTAGTAAGTTACTGGAGAGGGTAGTCTCTCTGGGAGAAGAATGGATTAAGGGGAATCCATATTTAATGTTGGGGAAACGTCAATTCTTTAGCCTCATATTTCCGCATGTAGGGACGTCAGCAAAACATTTCAGGCCTCTTCACTGACCTCACTCATCTCTCTCTAGGGGAGGATGTGTGACTTACCTGGTAAATTGAGGAAAAGGAACTGAGTATGTCTGGCTCAGCAGACAGCCTCTTTCTACTTCTCCAACTTTTTTGTTAGATCTGGCTACCTGCATGGAGACTACCTTCCAGTCTCCTCATACATATGGGCAGATTAAAAGTTCAAAGAGAGATGGTAGCCCACAAGAGCGGCACTTGAACCAGCCTAGGACCATCAAAAGACACCACCTGGAGGAGCTGACTTCTGAGCTAAGTTTTCAAGAAGCAGCAGATGAAGGATGGAGGTGGGATGCATTCTATCCTGCATGTTTATAGCCTCCAATGGTATGTCTCCTCAGCCTTAGTCTTCCCACATAAATGAGTCACTCATTAATAACTTTTATTTAAGGGTCTGCTTCTTGGCAGGCACTGTGCTAAGGATTTAAAGATGACCAAGTAAGGTATAATAGGGAAGATTGAAGATATATACAGAAACAAACAGGAAAACACTACTGGTACTGTATTGGAGCACAAAGCAGCGGCCAAACGGGAGGGTCAGGAAAGGTTTCTTAAGAGTTGGCGAAGAAAGTTATTTACAGATGAATGGGTTTAGTCAGACAGGGAGAATATTTCGGGCAGAGGTGATGTTATGTGCAAAGGCACTGAGAAGTAAAAGCTGACTTGTGGAGAAAACCACCAACAGTTTGGAAAGGCTGATGCACAGGGTAGAAGCGGGTGAAATGCTTGCTGGCAGGGGCCGATTTTGCAGAGCCTCGCTTGTCATCATAGGAGGCCTGGACTATGTCCTGGGAGCTATTAAAGGGATGTAAGGAGGGAATTGGCAGGTTCCTGTGTGCATTTTAGAAAGATTATTCTGATGGCTGTGTGAGGCTAGATCGGAGGAGGAAGAGGTTCTGTTTTAGTGAGACAGGTCGTGTCTGTGAGGTTAGAGAAAGGGGGCCATTGCTTGGATGAGGTTTAGGAGTTGGGACCCGATGGCCGATTGGATGGGAGTTGGGTGAGCGCCTTGGCTGAAGGGTGAACGATGGCCTCGTCGCCGAGTGAGCAGCAGGAGGCAGGGCTGTAAGGTGTGAGGTACAGTGTGCGTGTTAGAGTGTAAGAAGCCGTTGCGAGTCCCAGAGGAGACGTGCAGGAAGCGGCAATGCCGTAGATGCGCACGGGCGGTGGCCCGAGAGCTGGGGTCACAGAGCCACCCGAGGATGCTTGTTTAGAGGCCTTCGGCCCCGCCCCGTCCACCGCCCGTCTCCTGCCTGGCGGGGGCGGTACTCGACCTGTAGTGCGCAGGAAACTTCCACCTCAGCAGCAGTAGGCCCAAAAGGGCGCTGAGGCCCAGCACAAGGAACAGAGCGGTCACCAAGGAGATCCAGGCTAGGAGACAAAAAGGATCAGACCTCGGCCCACCCTGGCCGGAGCCCCGCCCTCAGCCCGCCCCGTTCTGGCCCCGCCCCTCGCCACCCCTGGGAACCGCGGGGACCAGCGCAGCCGTGGACCCGCATTGCCAGGGCCCAGCCCTTCTCCGCGCCCGGGTCCTCCCGCACCCGGCGCCCCACCCCTCTCCGCGCCCCGGCCCGCCCTTCCCGCACCCGGCGCCCCGGCCCTGGCGCAGGCGCTGTGCGGCTTTGGCGCGGCCAGGGCTTGCCTCACCGGTCTCGGAGGTGGTCTCCACCTTAGCTGAGTCGGACCAGGAGCTCCAGGGACCTTGGTAGGTGGGGCCGTTGAGTCTGGCGCGCAGCTGTAAACGGTAGCGAGATCGCGGGCGCAGCTCCAGAGTTCCTCCTCGGGCCCCGAGAGGTGGCTCCACCACCTACGCAGAGAAGCGTGCGGGTGGCCCTACGTCGGGGCTTCGACAGCCTGGCGTCTGTTTGACCCACATCCTACAGCTCCGAATCCCCAGGCAGTCGGAGATCACCACAGGGAGCCCCACCTGCGGAAAACACGCTTCCCGGCAGAAACAGGATAGAGCTCCCTAACCGAGAGCCTCTCTGGAATGGGATCACGCTCCGCCCGAGAGAAACGTGCCAGCGCCCACCTCCTGAGCACAGTCCTCACCTCAGAGAGCTACGCATCCTAACACCAACACCCAGGTACATCCTCTGCAGGGATCCCGGTACACACACACACCCTCCCAGGTGCTCTCACCACAACTCCAGCCTGGGCGATGGAGTCACACAGACCATGCCACAAATAATACTCATGCCACAGAGGATGCCAGATTTGCTCTTGGCGCCGGAGTACAAACATCATGTGTACAAGCAGGAAGACAGCAAACATTTACGAACTGTATGATACTCCAAACATTGGGTTAGACACTGGGGAGAAAGCAATGAAACACGGCCTCTTACCTGTCTAATGAGGGGACATCCAAACAGGTAGATAATCAAAACAATTAATTAGTGCAAGGCACCATGGAAGTCCAGAGAAGCATTTAATGCTGGGTTTTGTGCTAGAGTGGTTTAGTGTGCTATAAGCGTGGATGAGAAGGCTGGATGGTCACAGATGAGGCTAAGGCAGTCCTGGTAGGAATTTGAGGACTGTTAGTATTTTATTGCCATCAACTTAGTTGTTGATGAGTAGGGGGAAGGGACAAGGGAAGCAGAGGAAGAGTCAAGGGTGCTTTCAGGCTTGGGTACTGGGTAAGTAGTGGTGCCATTGTCAGAGACAAGAAGCAGAAGAGAAGTAAGTTTAGGGTTCCATTTTATAGAGTTCAACTTTAGGCTTTCATTTTATAGAGTTCAACAACAATCTAAATGAATCAATGGTAATGTCAGGATGGTGATCACCTTTGGTGGCAGAGGACCTTGATCCTGGTTACAGTTACATGGGTGTATACTCATGTACAGATTTTATGTTGAAAATATGTATACTTTGTTGTATGTAAGTTATATCACAATAAAAAAGTAATGCTTCAGGAGGAAGAGGATACACGTTTTGGATACACGGAGTCTGAGATGTCCAGGGGAGGAAGTTTTGGTAGAACCATCTTCTAAGATGTTGTACACAGTTTTATATACGTGTGGCAAATAAGAATAAAAGTAGACAAACTAATATTTAATGTTTATCGAGCACCTTCTGTATACCAGGCAGTATGCTAGGTATTTAGATATAGTATTTAATTTTTACTGTAACTCCGTAAGGTAGATAGCTTCATCCCCATTTCACCAATGAGGAAACAGATTTCAGATGTTTTGGTAATCTGCCTGTGGTTTGTAAATTCCTCTCCATATGGGAGTTCGAATGGTAAAATTGTGATTGTTCATGTATGGCCATTGAAACCATGAAGTTGAAGCACTCACCTGGGTAGAGCATATCTATTTTATCAGAGGATAAAAGAGCCTAGGATGAGACTCCAGAAAGCACAGCATTTTATAGAAGGCTGGACAGGAGGAGCCAGGAGAGGAGAGTGAGAAAGTTCAGTCAGAGAGATAGGAAGAAAATCAGGGAAGACTGATATCCCAAAGACCAACGGAAGAGAAATGTTGAGTAGGAGTAGCCAGCAGTATCAGATGCCCAAGAGAGATACCAGTTGAATCCAATAAACATAGATATACTAGCAGAGACATGGATACATAAACACTTTCACTCCTGCTAACAAACATGGTCAGCCCCAGGGATCCCATGCGTAGTGAGGTCTGTGAGCATTTGTTCCTTAACCATACCTTCCAGTCCTGATGGTCTTCTCCTGTGTATCGGAGTTGATAGCAGGTCTCTTGGGCTGCCCAGGATGATGGGTGCTGCCACTCCAATTCCAGATACCCACTGGAGATCTCCCTCCAGTGCAAGTTTGGGGTGGGGAGGCCCACTACAGGGATGTCAGCAGGGAGTAGCTTAAGCCCTTCTGCGCATGAGGTGTTATGCCACCAGGGTCATGGGTCAGAAGGGTCAGAGTTGGGGATCCTGGGTATAGGGTCTGATTCAGTGGGGGTGGGAACTATGTGGGAAGAATGGGGAAGAAAGTTCTTACCAGCCTGGTGGATCCAGAAAGGGGAGCCCAGGTAACTGTGAACAGCACCCAGGGCTGTGGTCACCTCCACAAGGATGTGAATAGCACTGTCATTTTGTGACTTGAAGTGGCAGCGAGAGAACTGTGGGGTCTGTAATCTTGGATTTGTTTCCTCTTCCTCTTCACAATTCTCCCAGATGGGGTACCTAAGACGCAGTCCCACAGAGTCATTGAATCAGGCCTGCCCCAGAGAATAATCTGAGGCTTCCCATCCTGCAGGAACGATGGCCTGCAGGGATTATCATCTGACTCCTTCCTTGAACAGGCCTCCAGAACTTTCCTCTGTCTTTATGCCATGATGTTTTCTTTCTTTTTTTTCCCCACCTTTGTTCATTTGTTTGTTTGTTTTCGTTGTTTTACCAAGATGTTTTCTGAAGTCAGCCTTGCTGTCTGGCCTCTTCCCTTTGAGGAAAGGCCTAGAATGACATGCGAAAACAGCATGGGTTTTCACCAAGAGTTCAGGTCTTGGCTTACCTTTGAATAACTTTGGGCAAGTTACTTGGTTTATCTCTACTCCAGTTTCCTTCTGTTTGTAAAGTGGGTTAATGACACCAACCTCACATGATTGGTTCAAAGATTTTTTTTTTTTCAGGCAGGCTTAGCATGCATAGTTCAAAGATTAAAGCACCTTCGGCCAGGTGCGATGGCTCAGGCCTGTAATCCCAACACTTTGGAAGGCCGATGCAGGCAGATCATGAGGTCAGGAGTTTGAGACCAGCCTGGCTAACATGGTGAAACCCTGTCTCTACTAAAAATTCAAAAATTAGCCGGGCATGATGGCAGGCGCCTGTAATCCCAGCTACTTGGGAGGCTGAGACAGGAAAATCTCATGAAACAAGAAAGCGGAGGTTGCAGTGAGCTGAGATTGCGATACTATACTCAGCCTGGGTGAAAGAGTGAAACTCCGTTTCAAAAAAAAAAAAAAAGTCCCTCATCTTTCTGGAGAAAAATATCTCACATTTTTAACTTGTTCTCATACGGCATTCCTTTTACCCCTATGTGTTATTTTACTATTAGATTATTACAATAGTCTCTTAACTGGCTTTTCTGCTTCTGTTTTTGCCTCTACCTTCAACTTGTGCTGCACACAGCTACCAGAATTTTCTTCCAAAAATGTTGATGTGATAATGTCCAGAATATGTCACAAATCTATTTATTTTGACCTTTACCACTGCTATGTTAGGTGAAACCACTGTTATGCCTTGCTTGGATTAAGGCAAATTTATAACTGGTGAATCTGCTTCTACTCTTTTTTTTTTTTGACATAGAGTCCTGCTCTGTCGTCCAGGATGACAGGAGTGCGGTGGTGCGATCTTGGCTTATTACAACCTCTGTCTCCCGGGTTCAAGCAATTCTCCTGCCTCAGCCTCTTGAGAAGCTGGGATTACAGACACCTGCCACCACACCTGGCTAATTTTTTGTATTTTTAGCAGAGACAGGGTTTCACCATGTTGGCCAGGCTGGTCTCAAGCTTTTGAACTCAAGTGATCCACCCACCTCAGCCTCCCAAAGTATTGGGATCACAAGCATGAGCCACCGTGCCCTGCCTGCTTCTACTCTTACTTATTCACAGAGAAACATGTCTTTTAAAAATACAAATCAAATTATGTCATTTTTTTTTTTTTTTTTGCTTAAAATCCTTCAGCGGCTCTTCATCCCACTTGAAATAAACCCCAAACTCCAGGACCCTGTGATTTGGTCTCGCCTTGCCTTGCCATTCTCATCTCTTATGATTCTCATGCCAGTCTATCACCCTTCATCCACACAGGCCTTTTTTCTGTGCCATGGATATGCCAAATGCCTATCTTTGCACTTTGCCTTTGCCTTGGATTGCTCTGACTGTAGGTCTTCATGTGACTCATTCCTTCTTGCCATTTAGATCTCGGCTTATCTGTCACCTCCCTGGTGAGGCTTTTCCTGGCCACATAGTCTAAATTAGCAACACCCCCTCCCCCGCCTACCACACGCCCCCTTTAGTCTCTATTATAATTGTGTTGCTTTATTTCTTTACTTGCTTGTCTCTCCCTCCTTTTTCCCTCCCCTCTACTAATGTAAGCCCCAACAATGCTGAAACCTTTTCCATTTTATTATTTGTTTTTATGTATTTTTATTTTTATTATTTTTTTGAGAGTGAGTCTTGCTCTGTCACCCAGGCTGGCGTACAGTGGCGAGATCTCGGCTCACTGCAACCTCCACCTCCTGGGTTCAAGCAATTATTCTGCCTTAGCCTCCTGCATAGCTGGGACTACGGGTGTGTGCTGCCATGCCTGTTTACTTTTTTGTGTTTTAGTAGAGACGGGGTTTCACCAAGTTGGCCAGGATGGTCTTGATCTCCTGACCTAGTGATCTGCCTGCCTCAGCCTCCCAATGTGCTGGGATTACAGGCGTGAGCCACTGCACCCAGCCCATTTTATTTATTTTTAAAATTTCTTTAAGACAGTCTTGCTTTGTTGCCCAGGCTGGAGTGCAATGGTGCGATATCAGCTCACTGCAGCCTCTACCTTTCGGGTCCAAGCAATTCTCCTGCTTCAGCTTCCTGAGTAGCTGGGATTACAGGCACCTGCCACCACACCTGGCTAATTTCTGTGCTTTTAGTAGAGATGGGGTTTTGCCATGTTGGCCAAGTTGGTCTCGAACTCCTGACCTCAAATGATCTGCCTGCTTTAGTCTCCCAACGTCCTGGGATTACAGGTGTGAGCCACTGTGCCTGGCGCCTTTTCCATTTTATTTGTTGCACTGTCTATCCCCAGTGCCTTGCACAAAGTCACCCTCAATAATTGTTTATTGAACAAATGAATCATGTCTCCCTCTTGATTATAACCCCTAAGTGGCTCACTATCACTAAAATGGGCATGTTTACCCATTTAATCAACAAATAATTGATACTATGTGCCAATTGTTACTGTGCCAGGCCCTATGAGTGCGTAGAGGAATAAGCTTCAAAGAGCTCTAATTTCAGTGGGAAAGATGGAAAAACAAACACGATGTTTTTCTGTGATGTGCATAGACTGGCTTGGGAACATCCAGGGGGAGCATCCAACCCAGACTGAGAGGGCCAAGGAATGCTTCCTGGTTAAGCTGGTTAACCCAGTTTAGACTGGGTTTTGGACTAAAAATAGGATAGGCAAAAGGGACAAACAGGCATCTTAGGCACATGGTTGTGCATAGATAAGAGAGTGTGGTACTTAGGGGGAAATTCTAAGTGGTACAGATGATTTTCACATAGAGGGCCTGGTGGTAAGTGGTAAATGTGAGGCTGCAGGCCATGTCATGGATGGCCTTATGGGCTTTCTGGGGAACATGAAATTAATCTTGTAGTAATTATGTAGGCATTTAAGGATTTTAAGCAGGGAAGTCCCATAATTAGTTTTGTACCTTAAGAAGATCATTCTAACTACAGTCTGTAGAAAGGATTTGTGAGAGCCAAGTAGAAACAGAGAAATACATTATGACACTTGCAGTTTTTCATGTGCAGAGTGCTGAGGATGTGAAAACAGGGTAGTGGCAGTGGGATAGAGAGAAAGAGATGATTGAAGAGTTATTGAAAAGGCAAAAATGACAAGACTATTTCTGGTTAGGAATGGGAGAAGTCCAGGATGATTTCTACTTTTCAGGCCAGGAAAACTGAGTTGGTGGTAGGATGGGGGGCAATAAAGAAGAAGCAATTTTTTTTTCTCAGAAGGAGTCTTGGTCTGTTGCCCAGGCTGGAGTGCAGTGGCATGATCTCGGCTCACTGCAAACTCCCCTTCCAGGGTTCAAGCAATTCTCCTGCCTCAGCCTCCTGAGTAGCTGGGATTACAGGCATGTGCTACCACACCCAGCTAATTTTTATTTTTATTTTTTATTTTTTGTTTTTTTTAGTAGAGACGGGGTTTCATCATGTTGGCCAGGTTGGTCTCCAATTGCTGACCTCAGGTGATCCACCCACTCTGGCCACCCACCTGGCAGGAGGAGCAAGTTTTGATAGAGGAAATGATGACCGTAGTTTTGCTACCCTTTAGTCCACTCAGGCATCTGTATCCTATGGATATCTATGCAGTTATTAAAAAGAATGAATTATATCATTTTGTAATGATCGCTGAGACATACTATTAAACAAAAAGGTGAGTCAACAAACCATATATATAATGTGATCCAATTTATATTTAAAAATTAAATGTGGGGCTGGGTATGGTGGCTCACACCTGTAATCCCAGCATTTTCAAAGGCTGAGGTGGGTAGATCAGTTGAGGTCAGGAGTTTGAGGCCAGCCTGGCTACCATGATGAAACCCCGTCTCTATTAAAAATACAAAGATTAGCTGGATGTGGTGGTGCACATCCATAATCCCAGCTACTTGGAGACTGAGGCAGGAAAATCACTTGAACCCAGGAGGTGGAGGTTGCAGTGAGCCAAGATTGCACCACTGCACTCTAGCCTGGGCAACAGAGTGAGACTCCATCTCAATCAATCAATCAATCAATCAATATTAGGTTGGGCATGGGGGTCTGAGATGGGAGGTTTTTTTCTTTATCCTAAGAATAGTGGGAAGCTATTGAAGATTTTTAAGCAGGGAGTGTTATGTTCATTTTTGCATTTTTAAAAGATCCCTTCAGGCTGGGCACAGTGGCTCACACCTGTGATCCCAGCACTTTGGGAGGCAAAGGCAGGGAACTCCTGAGGCCAGGAGTTCAAGACCAGCCTGACCAACATGGTGAAACCCCGTTCCTACTAAATACTTAAAAAAAGTAGTAGGGTGTGGTGGCACATGCCTGTAATCCCAGCTACTCAGGAGGCTGAGGCAGGAGAATTACTTGATCCCAAGAGGCAGAGGTTGCAGTGAGCGGAGATTGCACCATTGCACTCCAGCCTGGGCAACAGAGCAAGACTCTATCTCAAAACAAAACAAAACAAAAAGATCCCTTCAGTACCTATGTGATGAATGACTTGGAAGACTTAGGGTGATCAGTTACTATGTCTTTCCAGTAGCCCAAGAGAAAAGTGATGATGGGTTATAGTAGGATAATGGCAGTGATAGACCAGTGGGCAGATTTTAGAGATAGTTAATAGGTAAAATCAATACAACTTGGTTATAGATTAGATATGGAGAGGATGAAGGATTCGTTAGGTGCTTGGTGGAAGTCTTTGAACGCCAGGCTAAATTTTTTTATGGCTTTGATAATGCAAAATTGCGGTACATATTTGAGTAGGGGAAACATGCAAAGTTAGAGCTTTACAAAAGTCATGCACAGTTTGAGCTTAGCAAAGATCACTCTGTTAGCAGCATCGGGAATACGCTGGAGGTGAATTAGACTGTAGGCTGTTGCAGTGGTCCCAGTGACATGATTAAGGCTGAACTAAACCAAAGCATTCCCAGTGGGAATAGAGAGGGGTTGAGAAGATAAAATACTGACTGGAGGATGAGAAAACAGATAAGAGAGCATTGGACGCTGTATGGTTTTGGGACAAGGGAGAAGAGTGAAGAGGACCAAGAACAATCTGTTCCTTTTTTCTGCAAGACTGTAGCTCACTCCCATGACACCAACCTCAATCAGCAGTTCAGCTCTCACCTGTCTCTGGGGCAGCACCGTGCCCTGCTGTGGTAGAAGAAGCATTGGGAGCTAGCATGCTCCTGTTGCTGCCATTGACAGGTAACATTCTTCAGGTCCAAGGTAAAGCATTGCAGTCCAATTGCCACTAAGGTCAAAGAAGTAAGTCCTATCAGGGCCCATGTGCCCCTACTGTGTAGGGTGTTCAGATAATTTCTACACACATAATGTAGAACACTGACTCCTATTCTCTCTTCCCTCCCTGAACACAGTTCATCTTGTCCAATGGCAAGCTCAAGGTCATCAGGAAGGACCATGGTTCCCAGAGCTTCAGATCCAGCCCCAGCTTCCCTAGAGATCTTTTTAAATCCCCTCCCCACCTCCCCATTCCTTTGTTGACTTACCTGCATCCCCAGGCAGGTCCACAGTCACAGGGAGGGACCAGGATCCCCAGGAGCCATGGAGGGAGATCCCATCAGGTTGGCTGCGCAGCTGCAGCCAGTAGGAGTTACCAGGCTGGAGTCCTAAGATGAGGCAGCTTCCACCCACTGCAGTCAGAGCTAAAGCCTTGGGAGGAAAATCCCAGCTTCACAATCTAGGCCTGCCTGTCAGCTGAGACAGCCTCCATCCCTTATATTTGTACAGCATCCCTGTGGAGAGGAGCTCAGCTCCTTGCTGGATAGATACACACACAGACTGGGGGCCAGGTTGGTGGGTTTCAGGTGGTGTTCAGGGCTTTGTTGGGAAATCTCCATTAATTTCGAGGCCTGAAAGCCTTCACTTTTACCAGTGGAAATGACCCAAAGTAGGAAGCCCCTAAATAGACATGGCTCATAACTGAGCCTATACTAACTCTCCAAGGACCAGCCTAGGTCTGGAACCCCCAAAGTATGAGCTGTCCTTTCCTGGGGCAAGATTGGAGGTGAGAGATAAGAGAGATAAGAGGTGGGGCAGAAGGAGGTCAGCATACTTCTCTAGTTGGGGAGGGCTGCTTTGATCCATCTTGCCAGGGCATTGTGGGTTGAGGACATGGAGGCTGGTCCACAACAAGGGCTGAGCGTAGCCCCTGCAGAGTAGGGCAGCAGGTTTCTGTGTCGATCAGCTGTATGACCGTGGGACCAGTGGAGTTCTTGGGATCTTTGGGGCCATAGCGGAGTTCATACTTCAGGAAATCACTGAAACCTGGAGCTGGGGGCTCCCAGATGATCTGGAGTTCCCCTGGCTGGCTCCCGCCCATGGCCTTGATGACACTCGGGGGAGCCGGCAGGCCTGAGGGCAGGACAGGGCACATCAGAACTCTCTGAGTGCCACAGTCTATGGCTTAGCCTCTGGACTGCAGAGAAGGGTGCTGGGGGCTGAAATGGGCAGCTTCTGGATTCAAAAATTGTAGACCATCATTCTTCCAGAGGGCAGGCTAGGGAGGCTCCTGATTCTGTTCTTCTCTCATGAGGACAGTGACTTCATTGCAGTATGATGGCTTGCTAGACTCAGTGCTTCTTGGAAGCAGGGATCCCTTTTTCTCTCCATATTCTCATCTCCTAGCCCAGTGTCTGGCACACAGTAGGTATTTTGAAACTCTTGAATGGGTGTGAAATGATTTGTGGGGCAGGTCTAGCTATAGATGCCAAAGCTGGAAGGAATGACCAGGGAGTCTTGGGGTGCCTCTGGGGGTCTGGTAATAGGGGTATCTGTGCTGAGCTGAAAGGGCAGAGACAAGTCTGATTCCAGGAGCTGGACTGGGGCAGCAAGTGGAGAGGGCAGAATGATGGGAGGATGGCTCTTACCTACAGTGTCCACAAAGAGCACTCGCTGGGTCTGAGTCTGGTTCAGGAACACATTCTTCACCCAGAGGTGCAGCTGAAAGAAGAGGCGTACTTCCTCCTGGTCTGGAAACTGGCACACATATCGGGTTCCAAAACGGGGCACGCTCTGGGAACTCAGGGGGCAGGCACGGGGCTTCTCCCTGTTGGCATAGCACAGGTCCCTCCTACACAGCCACCATGCAGAGCCCTGAGGAACCAGACCTGGGCCCATGCCCAACTTCTGTCTCTAGTACTGTAATTTTTCTTCTCACTGCCTGGGGCAGGTGGAATTAGGGGTTATGTAGGGGCTGGAGCTGGGGCCCACATACATCCAAAGTACAACTGTTCAAAAAGTAGCTATTTAGGGCTTACATTCAGAATGGTCCTCTGATAGGCAGGGAAGCTGCTGGAATGGGACTCAGCTAAGTACAGGGACAGATATATGGAGTGTGGGGTACAGCCCAGCACCTACCCCTGGTAGGCATACAGCAGCTGGTATGTTCCACTGGGTGCTGCCTCTTCCTCATCCCAGAAGCAAGTGAGGTCCTCAAATGTTCGGGAGAAACACTTCAGGGGCTCTGAGTCCGAGGCCAGCAAGGAGACATCTGATGAACAGCTGGTGAGTTGGCCCCAGGTCCTCCCAGGCATGTTTATGTGGAAGAGGAGGGGACCAGCAGGAGAGCCCTTATTCTATCTCCCCTCCCAGGGCCCTGCATCACTTCCCAGGTCTCCCTCTTCCTGGGCATAGGTGATCTCCACCCTCTGTGTACCTCACCTTGGCTGCTGACTTGTGCCAGGTTTTGAGGGGCCAGGAAGAGGCAGGAGGAGACCATGAAGAGGGCCCAGGAGGGCATCTTCTCCACCACTGTGTGCCTGCCTTAGCCCATCCTCCCTTCAGGAAGCCGGGCCCCAATCCCCTCCCAGGCCAGCCCCTCGGGTTCCTGTCAGATACAGCTCCACGTCCTGTCTCTGTCCCTGCCCCTCTGGGGCCCATCCAGACCACACTGGGGCCAGGGGCCGGGGAGGGGGAGTGGGCAGGAGGGAAGGAGGAAATTGAAAGAGAGGACCTAAGCCTTTTGGTGGGAGGGAGATGGGGGTTGTATATTTGCTATGTACCAAAAGGCGAGTCATCCTCTGTATCTATGTTAAGGATTGTAGAATAGTATGATAGCATCAGGATAACAACCTTTCCTGAGCACTTACTATGCTGCCATGTGTTAAGCACTCTATATCCATTGACAGTCCTCACAACAGTCTTGTTATTTCCATTGTAGAGATGAAGAAACGGAGATGTAGAGAAGTTAAAGATTTGCCCAAGATTACATACGTACTAAGACATACGTTCTAAGATTTGCCCAAGATTACATACGTACTAAGACATACGTACTAAGCTCAGGCGGTCAGTCTTCAGAACCCACGTGTGTCACAATCATCCTGTGCTCTTGGGAGATATAATCTGCTGAGAAATGACTGTCTCACAGCCATGCCAAATGGTGGCTATTTCCACTTTAATAGTTCTATGATTTTGTGCATGAATAAACACATTTTGCCTGGAACTGGACATGCCTTCTCCATTATGAGTGGCCTCCATGGCTGCCTCTAATCCCTTGCTACTCAAAGTGTGATCTGTAGACCAGGAGCAACAGCATTACCTGGACACTCGTTAGAAATGAAGAATCTTAGGCCCCCACCCCAGGCCTATTAAAATAGAACTTGCATTTTACCAAAATCCCCAGATGGTTTGAATGTACCTTAAAGTTGGAGAAGCAATGGTCTTCAGTACTTTTATCCTGTTTGCTCAGAATCAGTGGATAGGGCTGGGCGTGGTGGCTCATGCCTGTAATCCAAGCACTTTGGGAGCCTGAGGTAGGTGGATCATCTGAGGTCAGGAGTTTGAGACCAGCCTGGCCAGTATGGTGAAACCCCATCTGTACTAAAAATACAAAAAAATTAGCCAGACGTGGTGGCGCTTGCCTGTAGTCCCAGCTACTTGGGAGGCTGAGGCAGGAGAATCTCTTAAACCCAGGAGGTGGAGGTTGCAGTGAGCCAAGATCGCATCACTGTACTCCAGCCTGGGTGACAGAGCAAGACTCTGTCTCCAAAAATAATCAGTGGATGGCTGGTCTCAGCTCTTCATTCAGGCTGTGGTCATCTCCTATCACTGAACCCCAAGCCTCCTCTTGGGACTGCTCTGTGTGTGGATTTTATGCCAATTCAAGGAGCTTTGCCTCTTGTGTGGGTGGGGATGGGAACAGGAGGTGAGTTGCAGGGAGGATGCATAGCCACATTAATTCGCATTTTTAGCCCCTCAGGTTACAGCTGCGGCTCCCATTGCTGGACTCTACAGACTTAAGTATCCTCAATATCACCTTCCTCTCTTCCTCCTTCTGAATTAATTTTGCTAACAGAATTGTGGGAGGTGCTGGAGGAGATAGATGGAACTCCTTCCACCCTCCTGTGAAGTCTTAGTTTCTCTGGCACCATATCTCTGCGAGCAGTCCCTGAGTCAGTTTGTCTTTAGCTGTACCTGGCTCTCACGTTACAAGGACTGATGGTAATGACTTTGGATGCCTTTCCCAGTCCCCAGTCAAGGGCTACCCAAACTTCTGTGAGATAAGTGAGAGGGAAACACAACTTTAGTGTTCATGCAGTCCCATGGCTCTGATGCTATGTATATGCTGATGACTTCAAAAAAGAATGTCTCTAGTTGGGACTTCTTCCCTGGGCTCCAAATTTGGATAGCCAGCTGCCTACTTGACTTCTTCACTTGCATATCTAAAAGCATCTTTTACTTTTTTTTTTTGAGATGGAGTTTCACTCTTGTTGCCGAGGCTGGAGTGCAATGGCATGATCTCGGCTCACTACAACCTCTGCCTCCTGGGTTCAAGTGATTCTCCTGCCTCAGCCTCCCAAGTAGCTGGGATTACAGGTGCACACCATCATGCCTGTCTAATTTTTGTATTTTTAGTAGAGACAGAGTTTCACTATGTTAGCTAGGCTCGTCTCGAACTCCTGACCTCAGATGATCTGCCCGCCTTGGACTTCCAAGGTGCTGGGATTACAGGCGTGAGCCACTGTGCCTGGCAAGCATTTTATACATAAGGTGGCCAAAATAAAACTCTGGTTCTTGTTCCCAACCCCAACCCTTTTATTTTGTTTTTCCTCTAGCCTTGCCTACCTCTGTAAATAGCATCACCACCTACTCAGTTGCTTGAACCAACACCCTCCATACTCCTTGATTCCTGTCTTTCTCTTACTCTGCATTCTACATCCAATTAATTAGCAAGTCCTGTCAGACCTTCCTTCAAAATGTATGCTGAATCTGAACACGTTTAACCACCTCCACCCTTACCATCCTAGTCCAAGTCTGGGTTACTGTAATAGCTTCCTAACTGGTGTCCCCACCTCCATTCCCAACCCCACCAGGCTGTCCTCCACACAACAGAGATATGTTTAAAATGCACATCAGATTTCTTCACTCCCCTCTTAAAATCCTCCAAAGATTTCCCACTTAGAATACCACTCAAATGCCTTCCGATGGCGTTCCTGGCCCTGTCTGGCCCTGGCCCCTGCCTACTTGAATCTTATCTCCTACTTTCTTTCTTCCCTCTCAGCCAGCCACAGTCATCTCATTGTGTCTCTCATCTTACTCTTCGTCGTATTCAACACTTGATAACCTTCATCCTTCCAATGTCACATTCTACTGGTTTCCTCTTACCTCCTATCACATCCCCACTCAGTTTCCTTCTGTGGTTGCTCTTTCTCTTAAATCTTGCTGCCTCCAGGTGTCCCTGCTCAGCCTTCTCTATTACCAGAGTAATTGCGTGACTTCAACTCTATCTGCACACTGGTAACTTGCAAGATCTCATCAATCTCTCGAACTTCAGATTCTCAGTTGGACATCTCTATTTGCCTCCCATAGGCACTTCAAACTCACCAAGCCCCAAATATAACTAACTCCCATATGCCCTTAGGTCCTCTCTTCAAGCTCTGTTCTGCATCTCTCATGGGCTACCTAGGTTCCTAAGCCTGGAACCTGAGAGTTATCCTATTACCTTCATTCTCCCTCTATACCTACATCTAAGTTCTTACCAAGTCCTGCGTCTTCTGCAGGGAGGCAGTATAATAGTGGTTAAAGGTGCAGGGCCTGCAAGGGGCTTGTGTATAACTGTCAAGAGAGTTGAGACAGGGGCTTTCCTCTTCTGTATGGGAGGAGGTCCGCTCTCTGTCCTGTCATTTTCCCATTTTCCTTTGTTTCCACACAGCTGGAAAATGCTGCTTTCTCCAAGCCTTGATTTCTTTAGAAAATCAAGCTGGAACCGGGATTGGGCCTAGGAGAAAAGAGGCCACGTAGGTCTGCCTGCTGTGGTGAAGGAGTCCTGCAGGCTCTCTAGAGTCCAGCCCTGTTCAGCAGGCCCAGGCGTTCCTGTTGGGATATAAGGCCAAAGACCTGGCTTATAAAACTGGTACTTGATCTCTGGGTAGCCATTGTTCAGAGAATTTAAGGGGTTGCTGGATGAGGATTGGCTCGGGCTGTAGTGTGCTGACAGACTGGCCCGGGTGGGGTGGGATGTTCTGTTTGGTAGCATTTGCTGCTTTTTGTGGTGTAAATACTTGCGTCATGGCCTGTTTGAAGCTGCTAACATGATGTCACTGAGCAGTGAGCTGGGAAGATAATTGGCTCTTCACTCTTGTGAGCCTGTGCCTGTGCACTTGCCCTTTATCTCCCCATGTTTCTGGATTTCCCAACACCTGTCATTTTTATCCAGTCAGAAAATCTGTGACAGGTAGCTTTAGGCACTAGGATTCTCTATCGCCTCATCTTTCTCAACATTGCTAGTCGTTGGTCTAAAATGATGGTTCTGTTTGTACACTTAGCAGTGTGTTAGGGTGCTGTATTTCCCCCACATCTTTGTCAATTTTTTTTTTTTTTTTTGAGACAGTCTTACTTTGTCACCCAGGCTGGAGTGCAGTGGCATGGTCTCAGCTCACTGCAATCTCTGCCTCCCTGGTTCAAGTGGTTCTCCTGCCTTAACCTCCCTAGTAGCTTGGATTACAGGTGTCCACCACCACACCCAGCTAATTTTTGTGTTTTTAGTAGAGAGGGGTTTCACCATGTTGGCCAGGCTGGTCTTGAACTCCTGAGCTCAGGTGATCTGCCTGCCTTAGCCTCCCAAAGTGCTGGGATTACAGGTGTGGGCCACTGCACCTGGCCAGTCAATGTTGTTTTAGGTTTGCCATTCTCATAGCTGACAAATGGTATCTCCTTAGTGCTTTTTCTGAGGTTCAAATTTGCTTTTATTTGTTTATAGTCTTCCTGCTTAAAATCCTTCTGCAGCTCCACAAGATGAGGAAAGCTCATCACTCCGTGCTGGAGCAAAGGACCCCCATTGCTGGAATCTCTCCCTCAGGATGCTCCATTCAGTAGTCCTCATACCCAATCCCCTTTCTAAGCATGGGGCCTTGTTCCCATTGCTCCCCCAGGCACAGACCCACCCCACTTAGCCTGTTGGAACTTACTTTGTGATTCTACCTGTCCCCAAGTCCCTACTTCTTGGGAGTATTTTCTTATACCCCCAGCTTATGCAGGGAAAAGGCTGATTAAAAGTGAAATACAACTTCACATTCCTTTTAGAGGCCCTGCAACTCTTTTGTGATCAGAAACAAACTGGATGGGCCTTTTTGTTTTAAAAAGGGGAGGCCCTTTGGGCATGGCCTTGATGGGAAGCATTAGAGAGTTGAGTTTGGGGGAAATGAAGTGGATGGGAATTTTAGAATGGCCTGTGGTAAAGCCAGAGAAACCAGAGGAGGGCCGGTACATGAAAGACAGCAATCTGAGGAGAAGAAAGGTCAACCAATGAGAAATTCC